TTTTTTTTTTGGTTTTTCTCCGGTACCGGGAACCGAACTCACGACCTTGCGCTTGCCAGGCAGGCGCTTTTGCCGCTGAGCTAAATCCCCAGCCCCTGGATAATGCTTTCATGTTGGACTTTCAGCATTCAAAACCACGAGGAAAAAAACATTCTACTGGTTTAGGTCACCCAGTTTGAGGGCCTCTGTCACAGTAGCCCTAAAAGGCTAACACACGAGGCAAGTTACCACTTTAATTCATGGCTCCAAACTGCCTTTCTTTCCTTTTTCTTGGAAGGAGGGTCTCCAACTCAACATCTCCCTGCCTCAGACTCCAACCCATCCTGGCTCCAACTCATTTTCAAATTTCAATTTATGTTTCCCCCACCAAGAAGAGTCCATTTCAACAATCCTGACTACATTTTACTTAATCAAAAATCTTAAATAATATAGATTTCACCTCCCTTGCATTTGTATTTGCTGAACTGATTTACAATGCTTCAAATATTTTACTCACAGTCTTCAAGAATAATTTTTCTCATCAAGACACAAACTAACCGTGTATGGTGGCGCACGCCTGTAACCCCAGCACCTGGGAGGCTGAGGCTGGAGATCATTGCGAGTTCGAGACCAGCCTGCGCTACAAAGTGAGCTCAAGGCCAGCCTGAACTGCATAGCGAGCCCCTGTCTCAAAAAGACCAAAGGAAAAAAAAAAAAAAAAAAAAAAAGACACAAACTTGCCTGAGTTTCTCCATGGCACTTTCTCGTTCCATGCGAAGCTTAGCCAAAGATGCATTCTCAGCTTTAAATTTTTCTATTTCTGTTTCCAATTCAACAACTTTCTCTCGCAAAGCCTGGGATCGAGCACTATCACCTACAAAACAGGCCATAAATACTGAATTTCACAACAGCTTTTAAAGCAGCAAAAATACTACCTAGCTTCTACTAAGAGCCAAAAATATGGTAAAACCCATGGGATATCATGGTGCATTAAAATCAAAGTTTCTCAAAAAAAAAAAAAAAAGCAGAAAAAAAACAGCCAGGCATGGTGGCACACACCTGTAATCCCAGCATTTGGGAGGCTGAGGCAGGAGGATCATTGCAAGTTTGAGGCCAGCCTGGGCTACAAAGTGAGCTCAAGGCCAGCGTGAACTGCAAAGCGAGACCCTGTCTCAAAAAAAAAAAAAAAAAAAAAAAAAAAGCAAAGTTTCAAATAACAAGAAAAAAAAATATGAAACTGGCCTAACTTTAAGCAAGAATTAATTCAAGAGTATCGACTTGAAAAGAAATTAGCATTACAGATAAAAGGAAATTATGAAAATCAATTTTTTAAAGATCAACAAAAGCCAAGTGTGGTGGTGCACACCTGTAATCTCAGCACTCAGGAAAGTTGAGGCAGAAGGATCAAAAGTTCAAGCCTAGCCTTGGCAAAATAGAGACTGAGCAAGACCCCACTGCAAAGTAATTTTTTTTAAAAAAAGGGCTGGGGATTAGCTCAGTGCAAAGGCCCTGGGTCCAAAACCCAGTACCACTAAGTAAGTTAAGTAAGTAACTAAGTAAGTAAGTAAATAAATAAATGAATAAATTCATAATATATCTCAAAGGGCTAACTGACACCAAAATTAAAGTTCGTTCCCCATACTACGAACCAAAGAAGTATACATTGAAATCTGTTTCCTTTATCTAATTTGCTCTTTGAAACAGCAATGTTTCTGTCCTTTGACTGAAACAAGCATTTTAACGTGTGGTATTACCCTTTTGTAAAATACAAGACTGAAAGGATGAGGCCAGTTTATAATACATATTTCTATCATATTACAAGTACATAGAGAAATGACTGAAAGGAAATATCCAAAAATGGATATTTAAAAATTTTAGTTATAAATATCTTTGCTTCTTTACTTTTTAAGTTTCCAAACTTCATGCAAAAAGTACTATTTTTATGAACAGAATTTGTTTTTTACATAAATCGTAATTTATATTTTAAAGCACCTAATGCTCTACTAGAAACTTGGGGGCTCTAATACAATCAGATGGACTCCCATCCCATCAACACAGCCAGCCACTGAACAGGAGGCAGATGTGCGTATGTTAGAGCAATCTTCAAACTTTATCATAAACAACGTACAGGACCATGTACAAGTGTTTTCAAGGGGCTGGGGATTTAGCTCAGCGGCATAGCGCCTGCCTGGCAAGCGCGAGGTCGGGAGTTCGATTCCTGGTACGGGGGGGGGGGGGGATCAAGAAAAAACAAAAAAAAGTGTTTTCATCTGTGTAGAAAAGAATTAAACATACACTCACACGTTTAATATGTGCAATTCATTCCGAATTCACAAATAAAATGGTAATGCTGGCACCACTAGGAAAGGCGCCCACAACGAGGTCTAGTGAAGGGCAGAAGTTATTTTTACATTAACCCCCCTTATCCAGCTCCGCTTCGCTCAGTTTTAGTTACAATCAAGCACAGAGCAAAAATATCAAATGGAAAATTCTAGAAACCAACAGTAAGCTTTATTCCCCCCTGGAAGGAGGGCCACCCCCTGCTGGGCACCCTGCCCACCCCCGAGTCACATAGTGGCCGTCTAGCTATCCGCCTGACTGCTGTGGCATCGCACTGCTTATGTTCAGCTAACCCTTATTTTCTTTGATAACGGCCTCAAAGCACAAGAGTAGTAGTGCTGCAATCTGAATATGCCAAAGGAAGTCTCAAACTGCTTCCTTTAAGGGAAAATTGTGTATGGAGAAGAAAACCCACGGTATTTACAGGGCTCAATCTCCACCGGGGATCTAAGGAAGACTACTGTATAGCATGCCTTCTTACTCAGGTTTGATAAATTAATGCATGAAGTGGTAAAATAACTGAAACAGAAGGTGTGGCAGTGAACACCTGCAATCCCAGCACTCTGGGAAGCTGAGACAGGAAGATGGCTTCATTCAAACTCAGCCTGCACAGCTTAAGACTTAGCAACCTAGTCTTAGATTAAAAAAATAAAAACTGGGCTGTAGCTCAGTGCAAAGGCCCTGGTTCAATCCCCAGAACTAAAGAAAAAAGAAGGAAGGTAGGGAGGGAGCGAGGGGGCTGGGAAAGTAACAGCAGTAGAGCATGTGCTTCATCAGTATCCTGAGGTCCTAGGTTCAATCCCAAGAAACACCAAGATAAAGGGAAAAAGGAAGCTCAAAGAACAGTTACTTGCATCTCTTTATACTTGTGACCAAATTATTTAGAATCACAAAGTAAATCTTTACAAATCACCCACTAAATTTGACATCTACCAAGTAACGTTAGAATTTTACACATTCTGAGCACACCCTGGCAGAAGAGTGTTAATCTGTAACATTCTGATACATACTTCATGCGCTGACTCACCAGACAACTGGTCTTGACTCACATGTAACTTGGGCTCACTTCCCAAGTGTGAACCCAGCTCTGGTTTCGGTTTCAAAGAAGGGAAGAATTTCATCATCAGATCAGATGTGGGAGGGGGGCTTGTGCTCCTACTAGCCTTACTCAGGCCTTCTCCCTTCTTGCCTGGCGCAACTTTCCTTTTTATTGTTCTGTCCAGGCCACTGACCTCACTGTCGGGGTAGCCTGTCTGGGGCATCCTGTAAAAGGCTGCACCCCGAAGATTAACATCACGTTTACATGAATTCTCGTCAAGGTCAGTCCACGATCTTTCATCATCGAAGTCAATCTGACTAACACTTAGCAACAAGGGTCTTCCTGAAGGTTCAGGCGCTTCTGTTTTCATGCTTTCTGTTACAACAGACTCATCGCTGCTATAATCTTTATCCGATAAATCCAGGTCAACATCTCTCCTTTTATCTTCTTGAATCCTGGTGTCCCTAAAAGGTCCCTTGCCATCACAGATCTGTGGGCTGTCCTCTCTGTCGCTGAAACCTCCCTCTCTGTCCTCCGTAGCTGGCTTTATGGTAACATCAAGCTGATCATCAGAGTCAGCGCTACCATCACTGTTCGTAACACTTTCATCATCACTCACATTCCACGGCATCTGACCTTCAGAAGAGCTTGCTTGGAAGGTTTTGCCACTGATTTTGCAAGACAGTTCCTTCAGTCCATCAGGTAAGGATGCCGAGCCAAGTGGAATGGCTGTGACCTTACACTCTCTGTGATTTTCACAGGCAGGGCTGGGGCCGGGATCCTCACTGCAGTTACTCTCAGTCCTGAGATCCTCCGGATGTGTCTTCTGCTGCACAGCTTTGACAGGCGTTGAAGACATCCGGTGACCTCTGCAGACCTGCTGATCCCTTTCTAAGATTTTCAGTACAAATGAGGAATTACTAGAAAATGAAATTTCATCAGCAGCTTTTTCTAAAAATAAAAACTCATCTAATTCCAAATTTTCTCTTTCCTTTTCTTGTTCCCATTTCTCTAATTTTTTCTGAAGAGAAATGTCAAGAGAAGAGCCCAGCTCTTTCCCAGCCTCACTTGTGGGATTCTTCGAAGCCATGCTGCTGACGGGCCCTGCTGAAAGAGGCGGTCTGCCTTTCCCCTGTGTCTTGCTCCACACGCTGAAACCAGCGTCACAGGGCTTTGCACACTCAGGTACATTTTCTTTGTTAGAGTCAACTTTTTTTTCTAACTTGACCTGCTCTCTAAATTGTCCATTACACTTCTTCTCTGTCTGTATTTTCCATCTTGACGGAGAGACACTTTTCCTATTATTGTTCTTAGGCACTTTTGGCTTCTGCCTGTGTGTGACAGAACCAGTCTTGGTTCTAGCTTTATTCTCCTTTTTAACAGTGGGGTTCTCTGAACACAGTTCTTTATTTATAAGCACAGTTTTCCGCTGGAATTGCTGTCTGTCTACTTTAAACAGAGGTTGGTCCTCTGAAACACTCTGGTTGGGCCCTAATTTACTGTCTTTCCCTTTTTGAAGCTTAGATTTAGTATTAGTAAACCTGGCTAAACCTTCTCCTCGTTTTAAGAATGGTTGTTTGGGTTTTGCTTTCAATTGTCCCTCTGCTTCCTAAAAAAGAACAATATTTGAATTAATTCTGGTATATCAGTGTAATCTCAAGGTTATTTTTAAAGCAAACCATAAGTAACTCTCTACAGCTTTAGAATAATTTAATCAAAACAGTTCAAATGCTTACCCTTAGCTGTTTTTGTTTAAGTTCTTGCTCATCCAGCTGGATCTGTTCTTCTAAGTAGTCTTCAAATGTCTGTTTTTTTTCTCTAATGGCAGCTTTAATAGGCCTAATCATAAAAAACAAAATAACAATGTGAAAATCCTAAGTGTGGATATGTTACACTCAGTGTTACTCAAACAAATACTCCTAATGACTTGAAGAATTAATCTTTTTCTTTTTTTTTTTCTTTGTCTTTTTGAGACAGGGTCTCGCTATGCAGTTCAGGCCGGCCTTCAGCTCACTTTGTAGCCCAGGCTGGTCTCGAACTCGAAACAATCCTCCTGCCTCAGCCTCCCGAGTGCTGGGATTACAGGCGTGCACCACCACACCCGGCTCGAGTTAACCTTTTTCAAAGGCAAGCGACAAGGTCTGGGGCATAAACCAATGACAGAATATGCACTTAGCATTTACAAGACCCTGGATTTGATCCGTAGCACCAAGACAAAACTTAAAACACCCAAAGTCAAGGGCCTCACTTTTTAGATTTTCCTTTGAGAATCTAATGAAAGCTATAATCCCCACAACCCCAAAAAATATGTAATATGTAACATTTTATGCATGATTGGGGCATTTTTTTTCAATATTAAGAATTAAACACAGAGATTTCACAATGAGCTAGAACCCCAACATTTTTTTAATTAGTGCATATTATACAGCTTGGGAGTTTCACTTTGACGTATTCATACATTCATGTAACCTACTTTGATTATTTCTACCACAATAAATATGTATTTTTTAAATTAAGAAAGATCCTTAGCAATTTGAGTAAAGCCACAATCAAAAGTCACTTTGCTTATACTATACCATATATTAAAAATATTTCATATGCTTAGGGCAATAACAGGCCTGTTTAAAAGACAAAATAGATACTCTGTCTTTGCCATAACTCAGTTCTATAACTTAAACTAATTATGGAATTACAATTTATAAGTGATACCAAATGTGAGACTCCAATATCCACTATTTCTCTTCTCCACAACAGAATTTAACCATAAGAGATTAATCTCATCCTGGAGTTGCTCCCAAGTGAGAAAGTTTGCTCAATTCTTCCAGTACAGTCAGAGCTACTGAACTGATGCATCTCCCAACCTCCTCCTGATGCCGACAGTACGTGACAGAGGTTGTATTAACAGCCTTACACTCAGAAGCACATTTAAGTGAAAAAAGAAAACTATAGGTCACAACAATACCGTTCTTCAATATTAACCACTTCCGAGGAATCACCAGTTCTTTTTAAGTTCATATCATTCCCTTCCTGAATCTGTTCTGTCATTTTCTCCCAACATGGTAAAATACTTTCTCCTAGGATAAAAGTTAGGAACAATTTAGTTTTTAAAAAAGTAGATTATAATATTAAAACATGAAAATTTTAAAAGTTATAATCCTTTTTAATTTTTAATTGAAATGTAATATATGTCAAAAACTTCTAAACACTCAAGGATTTCTTTAATATGAAAACCAAAAACTACAAAACCCAAACTAGGACACTTGACATTCTCCAAAAGGCTTAAAAATATTTTCAAGGGGCTGGGGATTTAGCTCAGCGGCAAAGCGCCTGCCTGGCAAGCGCAAGGTCGTGAGTTCGGTTCCCGGTACCGGAGAAAAA